TATGGAGCTTCCTCATTCTCATTCAGTTCCAGCACTGTCTGTTTTTACTCAGTCAAACTCTAGTATGCATGGCTCGAGGGTAGGATCACAGTTCCTCTTTAATAAAAACTGCACAGATTCAGATTCGAGATAAAGAAAATAAAAGAATAGAAAAAGGATAACAATAAGTGAATCCACACTAAAAAAAAATCCTTGCGTCCTGGCTCGTAGAAGTCACGACTGTGGAAAATACTGTAACAGTGTCTTGTAAATGTAAAAATCCCAACACAAATGCATATCCTTGTTCAAATGAAAAATAAGATTTAGTTTGTCTATTCCTAGAAATATTTTTCTATGCATTTTTTTTTTTTTTTTACATATTATTTTTTCAGCCCTTCAGGTAAGGTTAAGGCCACTAGACAGACCCAGATCCAGAGCATCTACTGCAGACAAACATCTTTGTATGAAAGGTCACTTCAGTCCAAGAAAGAGGCCCTTACGTTACATTACATCATGTTAGGGCAGGTTATATGGACAAGAGGAATGCTTTTAGATTCATATTGACCAGTTAATTAACCCCCAAGTCTTATTGTGTAAAGTTATATCTCTACAAATCACTCCAGGATGGACAATTTATATCCTAAAGGGAAGAAAAAAACAGACTGTATGATGGTCCTGTTTGGACAACTGACCGAATGCACATGCAAACCTGTCCGGGGCCCGCAGACTAACCTACCATGAACTTCAGTGTCACAGGGCTGCTGAACATCCATAAACATTATACTGTATGTCCAGTCACGTCCGATCAAGTGATTCATACTGAACATTTCAAAATACATTTGAACTGGTTTAAAGTAGTTTTACAGAAAGAGGGAACACAATTCTTACCGGTACACATACGGCCCCCTCTGTACCACCGTGGGCTTTTCTCCTTTTAGGATTTCATCAGGATTGACAATATGAAAGAAATATACAGACATAAAGAAGGGAACCGGGATGTCCTTCCACATAGTGTAGGAGAGTCCATTGTTTGGGTTAATCTCTACATTCTGTAAAGATATGATGTCCATGTGATTAGTGGCCAATGTGGTATGCTGTATGTAAAACAGCTTCACTTAAAACCTCATCTTTATATTTAATTATTAAATGCAGATGTATGGCTTTTTGAGGGACAACATGGAATATTTGCATTTTTAAAAAAGTATGTCAGACCACAAAAAAAAGTCTTTTTTGAGTCTTGAATTTAGATCTCAGTTCAAGTCTTCTGAAATGTTTTTGAAATGTTCACCAAGACTGCATTTATTTGCTCAAGTTACAGTAAAAGCGGTAATATTGCGTAAATATTATTAGAATTTCAAAGAACCGTTTTCTAGGTTAATAGATTTTAAAAATGTAATTTATTCCTGTGACGCAAAGCTGAATTTTCAGCAGCATCACATACAATACATTATTCAAAACAACACATAAATCAGATAAATAAGTCTATTATTAATATAATAAAGTTATGTTATATGATTTAATAACTTAATGGTCGTTCCTATTTATGTTTTTTAAGGTAAGAAAATCATATCAAGCTCAGTTCGAGGCTTGTCGACACTGAATCACGTGTTTTTGTAACTTTATGTTATTTAAATATGCAAATATGTTTAATTGGTGCGTCTCTTGCATCTGTCAGGTGTAGGACTTACCTTCACTATTTGATCGTCTATTATAATAGGTCCGACAAACACCAGCACAGTCCCGAATAAAACCGCCAAACCTCCCAGAACTATAAAAACGATCGATAATGTAGATTTAGACACCGCCATCAGTGTTTCCCACACAGTTCACCTCCCAAACACGCGCAGAGCTTTGAGAACAATAAAGAGATTTCTTCTGGAAAGCGCAGGGAACTCAAAGCGTGACGGCTGAACACACTATCACTTATACAAGATAAAGCCATACAACTCTGGCCATTGAGTTATTAATGCTCTGCTGACTTTATGATCGTGTACATTACAGCTGTGAGAGACGTTAAAGTCCGGCTCTCTAATCCTGCAGGTTTTATAGCGCTCGTGCTGTTTGATTACCATGTTTACGGCGCTCAAAGCGCCACCTATAAGCCAGAGAGTTCTGGGTAATGTAGTTACACACGCCTCCCACATGAAGGATAAGAGACTAGCCTATTTGGAGAATCTAATCCACTAATTCATTTTATTAGGCAGCATTTAAAAGTAATGTTAACAAGAAGCACACAATGTGTACATGCATACAGTGGCCCCAAACGTATTTTGACTCCTGATATATAGATAGACAGACAGACAGATAGATAGGCATATACAGTGGGTACGGAAAGTATTCAGACCCCCTTAAATTTTTCACTCTTTGTTATATTGCTGCCATTTGCTAAAATCATTTGTTATTTTTTTTTCCTCATTAATGTACACACAGCACCCCATATTGACAGAAAAACACAGAATTGTTGACATTTTTGCAGATTTATTAAAAAAGAAAAACTGAAATATCACATGGTCCTAAGTATTCAGACCCTTTGCTCAGTATTTAGTAGAAGCACCCTTTTGATCTAATACAGCCATGAGTCTTTTTGGGAAAGATGCAACAAGTTTTTCACACCTGGATTTGGGGATCCTCTGCCATTCCTCCTTGCAGATCCTCTCCAGTTCTGTCAGGTTGGATGGTAAACGTTGGTGGACAGCCATTTTTAGGTCTCTCCAGAGATGCTCAATTGGGTTTAAGTCAGGGCTCTGGCTGGGCCATTCAAGAACAGTCACAGAGTTGTTGTGAAGCCACTCCTTCATTATTTTAGCTGTGTGCTTAAGGTCATTGTCTTGTTGGAAGGTAAACCTTCAGCCCAGTCTGAGGTCCTGAGCACTCTGGAGAAAGTTTTCGTCCAGGATATCCCTGTACTTGGCCGCATTCATCTTTCCCTCAATTGCAACCAGTCGTCCTGTCCCTGCAGCTGAAAAACACCCCCACAGCATGATGCTGCCACCACCATGCTTCACTGTTGGGACTGTATTAGACAGGTGAAGACAGGCAGATAGATAGATAGATAGATAGACAGACAGGCAGATAGATAGATAGATAGATAGACAGGCAGGCAGATAGATAGACAGATAGATAGATAGATAGATAGATATAGATAAAAATGCATGGCAGCAGAAAAAATATAAATGCAAATAATATAAATGCAATTATAGAACAGCACAATAAACAGATTTATCAGCTAAAAGGGAAATGAAAAGGCCTCACATTCATATGGTTGTTGATGTCAAATGCTGTGCATCGAAAAACTGCATTCAAATTAATCCGTATTTCATTTTCTGTTGTTTATGCATTTAGAACACCATCCTATTCATGTTAATACATTTGTGTTTATGCTGTTAATACAGTAATTTGTCATTTGAACAAGTAATTAGATTTGAATTAGATTTTCTTTTATATGAATAAAAAGTTTAGTACAAATAGAAGTTCCAATGCAAAAGCAGTTATTTTTATACTGTTAAACTGTCATTAAAACATGGCATATCATGTTAAAGCCGTATGATCAAACAGAGCTGCTGGAAGAAGTGTTATTGTATCAGGGGGCAATTACTTTTTCACGTAGGGCCAGGCAGGTTTGGACAGCTTTTTTCCCTTAATAAAATAAATAATCATTTAAAAACTGCATTTTGTATTTACTTGCATTATCTTTGTGTAATATTAAAATTTGTTTGATGATCTGAATCTTTTAAGTGTGACAAATATGCAAAAAAATTTAAAACCAGGAAGGGGGCCAACACTTTTTCACACCACTGTATATATATATAAATGCATACACTGTGACGCAGCAAAAATTATTCAACTAACCTTATATGCTGACCGTGTTAAATTTAGAAACAATTTAGTTCGTCACACTATGATATATACTCATTAGGCAGGTCCATTTCAAAGTTTTAATCAAAAGGCTTATTAATGTCAGCACAGCAGGTTAAAACCAGAAGCCAACATCAACAGCTTTATATAGGTATGGGTTTTTTTTAGCTCTTGGCTTGTTTATCATTCCGTGCAGCAAAGTTTTCAGAAAACCAGATAGGTATTTTTGTTAGACCCAGCTGGACTGATATCAGATGCTTTGTCTGTGCTTTTGTAAACAGAAACGACAATGCAGCAGTCGAGAGATGTTGTGATGGTCTGGAATTGAGCAGCAGAATTCAGTGACGGTTGACCTAACACAAAGGTTGATTTGTATCTTTAAGCAACACACAACCTAAGGTTGCTCAAGACGCACCGTCTCCAGTCAGTACTGCTGGTCAATTTCAATGAAAAACATCTGATGCCCGAAGACACTGACTGAAAAGTGGCAAAACAAAGAGGTTTGTCTACACCCAACCCCATAACAATATAGCCTACTGCAAGCTAAAAAAAATTGATCTAGTGCAAAATAGACAATTCTCAATTTCTCTAAAAGGTGATGTTTTACAATGTAGTTAAACTAATTAACAGTTGCCCTCAAGCAGCCCAGATTTTTACAAGAGCCACACAAGTTGAGCATTTAAAAGGGTCACAATGGCAGCAACCTTTTCACAAGCCTGTGGTGACATCTAGAGGCTTGTTTAATAACTGCAATCTGTAGGACACATGCTAGAAATTATTTTCCAGTTGCAAATGGGGAGTACTAGTTTAACATTTCAATTTGTCTACTTTAATTTCACGTATAAATGTTACTGCTTATGCAATTGTTCACAAAGTTTACTAGCATTTTGACCAAATATGGTCTCTACACAAGTTTAGCATTACGTCAACTATTCATTTTAAATGTTAACATTTCCACTCAACCAAACTTCTTGAAAAGTAACTACCAAATTAAATAAACCATGAGAAATCAACTTGCTTACAAATTAGACTTCAAAAACCATTAAACGACTTGTATACATAAACCAATATTTTAAAAAACCCTCAACGTAAACGTTTTAATTTTTAAAAACCAAGTTAAGTGACCATTTTGTGAATGATTTCAGAGATGAGGCAGGAAACGGTAGTCAGGAATGCCAGAACTTTATTCAATGATTAAGAGGAACAAAGGAAATTGGAATTGGTCTGATAACTTTCAAGACTTATATATTAAACATGAGCAGATTAATTGCCGCCACGAAGACGCAGGACGAGATGGAGGGTGGACTCCTTCTGGATGTTGTAGTCAGAGAGGGTGCGTCCATCTTCCAGCTGCTTACCAGCGAAGATCAGACGCTGCTGATCAGGAGGAATGCCTTCCTTGTCCTGGATCTTGGCCTTGACGTTCTCTATGGTGTCGCTGGGCTCAACCTCGAGGGTGATGGTCTTGCCAGTCAAGGTCTTCACAAAGATCTGCATACCACCTCTCAGACGGAGCACCAGGTGGAGAGTGGACTCCTTCTGGATGTTGTAGTCGGACAGGGTGCGTCCATCCTCCAGCTGCTTGCCAGCGAAGATCAGACGCTGCTGATCAGGAGGAATGCCTTCCTTGTCCTGGATCTTGGCCTTGACGTTCTCAATGGTGTCGCTGGGCTCAACCTCGAGGGGGATGGTCTTGCCAGTCAAGGTCTTCACAAAGATCTGCATACCACCTCTCAGACGGAGCACCAGGTGGAGAGTGGACTCCTTCTGGATGTTGTAGTCAGAGAGGGTGCGTCCATCTTCCAGCTGCTTACCAGCAAAGATCAGACGCTGCTGGTCAGGAGGAATGCCTTCTTTGTCTTGGATCTTGGCCTTGACATTCTCTATGGTGTCACTTGGTTCCACCTCAAGAGTGATGGTTTTACCAGTCAAGGTCTTCACAAAGATCTGCATGCCTCCCCTGAGGCGGAGCACCAGGTGGAGAGTGGACTCCTTCTGGATGTTGTAGTCAGAGAGGGTGCGTCCATCCTCCAGCTGCTTGCCAGCGAAGATCAGACGCTGTTGATCAGGAGGAATGCCTTCCTTGTCCTGGATCTTGGCCTTGACGTTCTCAATGGTGTCACTGGGCTCAACCTCGAGGGTGATGGTCTTGCCAGTCAGCGTCTTGACGAAGATCTGCATGCCTCCCCTGAGGCGGAGCACCAGGTGGAGAGTGGACTCCTTCTGGATGTTGTAGTCAGAGAGGGTGCGTCCATCCTCCAGCTGCTTGCCAGCAAAGATCAGACGCTGCTGATCAGGAGGAATGCCTTCCTTGTCTTGGGTTTTAGCTTTGACGTTCTCAATGGTGTCGCTGGGCTCAACCTCGAGGGTGATGGTCTTGCCAGTCAGCGTCTTCACAAAGATCTGCATCTTTACGCTAAAAACAAAGATATTCACATTGATTAACTTCAAAGTATGTGCTGCATTGGTGAAAACCTAACAACGAGTACAGGTTAATTTAGTATTGTTAGAAAAGCCTAAGAATTTTCTAGAAATTTCTACAAAAGAAAGCGAAACAAAAGGAGGAATAACAGCAAACTGATGGCCGACACAGCCGTGAGGCAGGGCGTAACAAACGGGCGATTGAAAACAAAATGGCGACGTTATACCTCAGAAAATGGCCAGAAACAAAAAAAACGGAACAAAACGTTAATAACAACAGATACATGACAATTGATGAGTG